GGATTCCAGCAGGAGGAAAGGGGATAAGAGAGGAAAGATGATGATGTGAATGTGGCTAAAATTTATTATGTGTGTGTGTGTGTGTGTGTGTGTGTGTGTGTGTGTGTGTGTGTGTGTGAAACTGTCAAGCAGCCAGTAAATTATAGGATGAAGGCTCAAACCCTCTTGTAAATTACAAGGCATTGAGAAGAATAGATTACCCTGATTGATGCAAGAGGTCTTTATATGCACTCTGGGACTCTCAGGATAAATAAAAATCAAACAAAAGAATATTGTAAAGTATGATCAGATTGTGTCAACAAAAAAGAGTAATTTGCAAATTCAGTGTATTGAAAGCAAATGTAAGCTGGGCATGGTGGCACAAGTCTTTGGTCCCAGCACTTGGGAGGCAGAGACAAGTGAACCTCTGTGAGTTGATATAAATACTACATGCATACATGCTTAAGATGTATTCCAAATCTTTCTTTAAAAATTATGGGGCTAAAGATATGGTTCAGCAGCTAAGAATACTTGCAGCTACTACAGTGGACCTCGGTTGAGTTCCCAGAACCTGTATGGTAGACGAAGATCATCTATAATTTCAGTTTCAGGGACTCTGATGCCCTCTTTTGGCCTCTGCCAGCACCAAGCACATATGTGTTTTACCAAAATCCATGCAAGAAAAACACTCCTGTAACAATAAAAATAAAAACCCAGAGACAGATAATGGGGTTCAAGCTAAAGATCAAAAAAGCCAAGCAGTCAAGTCACTAAAGAGTCTCTCTCTCTCTCTCTCTCTCTCTCTCTCTCTCTCTCTCTCTCTCTCTCTCTCTCTGCAAACCATCCTATATTAAGAGAAGCATTCCACTGCATGATAGAAAAGCATGGAAACCAAAACATTGAAGGAATTACCCACTTTGCCAGCCATCTGAGCCAAATATGGTCATGACTGGAAAAGCCTTCGTCGAGCCCATGTGGGATGCTGTTGACATTATCCACATCTTTGAAGCCTGAGGTTTATTCAAGCATGTGTTCTTTCAACAATCGTACTCTCAAGGCCTACCACGTACTAGGTCTTGAATCAAATGCTGAAAAAGTAGAGATAAAAATTTTTCCTTTAATATCCATGAGCTTAGAGGGTAGATTTATTTCAAAGGACAAAATTTTCATAACAATTTCCTTCTCGCTTTGGCATTGTAAACATGAGAACGTCTTAGGAGTGTTATTAGGACAGCAAAGTTAATGGAGCAGAAACAATACAAGGTTCACCCCTCCTCTGGAGAGCTTTCTACAACTAAAGGAGAATAAAAGAAGAGTCCTGAATTGACGGTGAACTGCATGCTATTGAGAGGCCTGTGTGCGAAAAATGTACTTTATCACTACAGAGATTTTCTCTCTCTCCTTCCCTCCCTTTTTCCCACTTGCCTATTGTTGTCTGTCCTTCATCTCCCTCTCTCTATTTTATCTTTTAACAAGCCATTTTTATATTTGTCTTTGTTACTGTTTTTGTAGATTATACAAGACTGATTGAACTAACAAATGCATTTTCTACATATGACAGATTCAAAGTGCTGGTATACCATGGCCATCATTGGTCTCAAGGACCAAGGACCAGACAATTCAAATGATTAGATAAACAGCACATGGATCATGCAGATAGATCAAAGTAATAATCTGACCAGTTGTCACAAGGATAGCCTAGAAAGAAGAATGAAAAATACAAGAATATTAAGACTTGGAGAAACTTAGAATCTATTGCTATTACAAATGGAGACAACTGCTTATGTGTTTTCAAGTCAAAGATAAATAGTGTTTTGAAATATACCAAAGTCATCTTAAAAGATCTTGAAATCATCTACTTTCACCGGCATTATATAGTCACACACCATAGTGATTTAAAACATAAGTCCTTGACTAACCTATAGTTAATACTGATGTGATGAAACATCATGATCAAAATCAATTTGGGAAAGGGAGGTTTATTTGGCTCACATATCCAGAATCAAAGTCCACTCAGGGAAGTCAAGGCAAAAACTAAAACTGGACAGTAACCTGGGGACAGGAACAAAAGCAGAGGACACAGAGAAACACTGGTTACTGGCTTATTCATCATGGTTTGCTCAGTCTGCTTTCTTATAAAAGCCAGGACTGCCAGCACAGGGATGGCATCACCCACAAATCACTATTTAATAACATACCCTACAGGCTTGCCAATGGAACACAGTACAAAGATTAGCAAAAAAATCAAGCATCAACAGCCAACTGACTTGTCAACAAAGGTGTTAAGAGCACACACACTTTGGAGAAAGAATAGTCTTTTCAAAAAATGACATCTGGAAAATGGTATATCCACACTCTAAAGAATAAAGTTATGGGGCTGGAGAAATAGCTCAGTGGTCAAGAGACCTGCCTGTTCCTCCAGAGGACCCAGGTTCAATTCCCAAACCTGCATGGCAGCTCACACCTGTCTATAACTTACCATGGACTTGCATAAATTGTTAACAGACATATGAAAAATACTCACTGTTGTAGAAAGAGCAAGTTGTGTCACACTGCCCAGCTAGCTTAACCCATGAAATAATGACACAGAAATTGTATTAATTAAAACATTGTCTGGCCCATTAGCCCTAGCCTCTTATTGGCTAACTCTTACATCTTGATCTAACCCATTTCTAATAATATGTGTAGCACCACGAGGTCGTGGTTTACCGGGAAAGATTCTAACCTACCTCTGTCTTGGGTTGGAGCTTTATGGCGTCTGCCTGACTCTGCTCTTCTTTTCAGCATCCAGTTTTGACTTTTACACCTACCTAAGTTTCTACCCTATCAAAAGGCTAAGGCAGTTTCTTTCTTTAACCAATGAAAGAAACACATACTACACCAACTCACCACCACCATTCATCAGGAAAAGAGAAAGCAAAAACAAGATGAGAGAGAACTTCATCACCTCGGTAAGAATGGTCATTAGAAAACAGGGGGGAGGTGTTAACATGGATATGGAAAATTGGAAACACTCACACAATGTTGGTAGGAACATAATTTTGTACAAGCTCTTATAGAAAATTCTAGATGGTCCTTCTGAAAGATAATAAATAAAACTACCACATCTAGTAATTTTACTACTGAGCATAAATGCAAAGGAAGTAAATTCATAATGTCAAAGGGTCTTCTGCACTGGAGTATTAATTCAGCGCTATTCACAATAGTAAAAAAATGGAAACCAAGTAAGTACCCCTCAACTGATAAGTGGATAAACAAAATGTGCTACATATATACCATGAAATACTTTTTCAGCTAGAAAAGGGATTAAATGTCTCATTTGCAATTACATGGGTGAACTGAAGATAATTATAATAATGAAATAAACCAGATGCAGAAAGACATGGATCACATGGCCTCATTAATGTGAAAATTTAAAAAGGTTGATCTCACAGATGTTCAGAGTAGAATGGTAGATGCCAGAGTCCCGGGAGAGTGAGAACGTGGAAAAAGACTGATAAGTGGATACTAAGCTTCAAATAGATTGTGTAATCAGTTCTACTGGGCTATTACACTGTGGGGTAAACACAGATAACAATAATTACAGTGCATTTTTTTTAAAATGCAAAACAAAAACTTTGAACATTTTCATCATAAAGAAATAATAAAACTTTGAGGTGATGGCTACGTGTTCCACTTGATTTAAACAACACAATGTAAATATGTCATCCTGCTGATACAGACAAACAGATGCATGCGTGCTCACACACACACACACACACAATAGTTTCATGCATCACTTAAGATAAAAAAATTAAAGTCCTTGGAGATTCTTCTGTGCCCTCTAGCCATTCCCTGCAAGCTATGGATAACTATACCATGTGTTTTGACATGTTGCCAATATGGGACTTTAGATTGCATCTTCTTCAAACTATACAGGCAAAGTTCCAAAGACAGCAAGTATAAATCACTAAGCCATCTCTCTAACCCAAGATAGTGTATAGTTTTTCACAATATATTGGAACCATAAATAAAATATTTTCTGGGGCTCAAGGGATCTATATTCTAAGTTCAACAAATTTAAATTACTAAGATAGTAGTGTGCCCTCACAGACAATTATGAGTGTCTTGGGAAAAATACATGCTTTAACGTGCTAAGAGCTGGTACTAAGTAAATGGGTGCAATGATGTACATTGTTTTTATTATAGATACTGTTATAGTTCTTAACCTGGTATGGTTTCTTTTTTTTAGGGGTCTAGCTTTCTTTAGTTATCACACTGAGGTGCTGTCAGAGAGAAGGCACTTAACTGGGAAGGTCATCCGATTCAGGCCAACCATACCCTCTCTCCCTTCACCAACTCCCTTGGCACTTGTTTGTGGGTCCACTTAACCCTCATATTCTGGGGAGAGAGAGCCCAAGGACTTGAACTCTAGACTCAGCAGGGGTGGGGAGGGGCTTTAGAAATGGAAGTCAGTTGGCAGAGTGACCTGGGAGCTGCCCCCAGTCAGCAGGGGACCATGGAGGAGACTGCGGGGAGTGAGGTGGGGGATGAGTTGGCACTGGAGAGGGGGCAGCTTAGTAAGTTTTCTTGGAGACTTCCCGAAGCCCACAAGAAGGTTCCACTTCCCGCAGATACTCTGAAGGCACCGGTGAAGTCTGGGGCTTTGGGGTGAGACACGGATGAGGCGGACCCACTCCCACTCAGCTGGCCGGACTAGCTCACTGCTGGGCACAGGAGGGGCTCAATAAATGTTTTTTGGATGAACAGAGTAAAAAGGCTGTGACAGCCGGAAGACCAGGCCTGTGACCCCTCACAGCCCAGCTTGTTCCATTTAGAAAACAGTAGTTTTAAAAATGTACAAATCCTTGCCCTCCCTCCCCCAATTTCTGGGCCCAGGGAAGGGGTGAGGGAGGAGTGTCTATCCCCACCCCTTCCTCGCTCCTTCCTTTAAGAATCTATATACACATATACATATTTATATGGCACCACGGGGAGTCCTGCCAAGCCCCAGGCTTTGGGGAGAGTGGGAGCTGAAATGATACAGGGTACAGCCATCAGCCTTGGACGAGCTGAACTGGGAGTGTTCCCTAAGGAGGGTCCCCTCTTTTACAAGTGATAATAGACTTTCTCCCTCTCTTCCCTGGCAGAAACTGCTGGGCACCATCATCCCAGGGAGGAGGAGGGAAGGGGAGAGGCTGGTTCCTCCAAGGTCAGCCTAGGTCTGAGAAAAGCTGACCAGCAAAGAGGGTTCTATGCAAGGCACTTGGTGTCCACTGTTCCCAGACTGGGGATGGGGGCAATCCAAGGCATGGGGCCGCAAAAACCTTGCCCCTACCCCCAAAGCAGAGCTGGGGTATGACACCCAATTTGGCAGCAGAGAAACATGGCAGCATGGAGAAGACAGAGGGGCGGCAACAGGCAGGGCCCCCCAGGTCCCCTGAGAAGAGGGGAAAAGTTTGAAGGCACTGATACAGGGGCCAGGGGCTCTCTGTCCTCCATGCAGCCTGGCAGGGGAGACACCCTCTTCCCCAGGGCCATGGATATTGCATAGCCCATGAGGTTTTGTTAACAGCACAGGCAGGCTCCCACAGTCTGATGGGAAGAGGCTTGGGCCTCAGTGAGGGGCAGATCCTGGCCCCAAGACACCTCACTAGCTCCCGGGCCTAGGCTGCCTGAGCACTGAGTAGACGTTGTCCACACGGCTGAGTTGCTCGAAGAAGGGTAAGAGATCGTGTAGCTCAGTGTCACTCATGTTGTCAAACCAGGAGGCTACTGGGACAGCATTGTCTGGATGGAAGACGTAGGAGGCGGGGGAGTTGTCTAAGATGAGCACCCGCTGCAGGTCTCGGCCCAGCCTGCTCAGGTCCTTTACATAGTTTCCCCGATGGAAGACACACGACTCTCGAAACAGCCGGGCACGGAAGGCTCCCCACTTGTCCAGCAGGTCAGCTACAGGGTCTGCGTACTTGGTAAGGCTGGCAGTGAACAGTACACACTCAAAGAGCTCGCCCATACTCTGGAGGAACTCATCCACGTGGGGCCGCTTCAGCAAGTAGACCTGGTGAACTACCCCATCAATCTCCACGGGGATGATGAAGTCAGCATTGCTCACTGGCTTGAAAGAGCTGTGCACCAGGGTCTCGTCCAGGTCGATGACCACGCAGATCTTGTCCGAGTCCTGGGCCTTGGCCTCGGGAAGCAGGTACTGGACCTGGCTCTTAGGGATGGCGCCATTTTCCTCCACCAGCAGGGGAGCCCCACTGTGGGCAGGCGGAGGCTCCCCATCATCTCGGCAGACACAGCAGAAGAGCGAGTGGAAGATGCCCCGACTCCGGGGCTTCTGGGAAGCTGCTGACTTCTGGTCACCTTTGCCCCGCAGCGGGCCCCGCGCCTCCTCCTTGCTGGTCTGAGTAATGACAGCCGAGCTGTCCATGGGGCCCGGCGCGCTCCACTCCGGCCATACTCTGGCCCCGGCGCCCGGCCTCCCCACCACCACCCCCCCACCCCCGGCTCGGGCAGGAATCGGGGCGTGGGGGGGGAGGGGAGGGGGGAGGGGAGGGGGGGAGGGAGGGATCCCCCCTGGTATGGTTTCTAATTAATAATCTGAAAGTGCCTAAGCTGTCATTCTGAACAAATGCTGTTGCAACAGAGGCACAAGCTAAACTGTGGCTCAGATCGCCAGAACTTGAACCTGGAATCCTTGCAGCATGTTGTTCCAGGTGTAGGTGGGGAGATATATGCATTTCTGCTCCACTCTATTTCCTCTTTCTCTCCAATCATGCTGCACCCAAAACCCATCCATGGCTACGGAACCTGAGCCTCACTTTGATTAGTGTTGCCACCTGACCAAACCGCACCTTCAATCCCTCCAGAGCATCAGTCCTCCACAGGAAGGCGATCAAATGCAGACTTCTCCTGAAAGGTAGAATCAAATATTCAGCACTGCTCCTCACAGGGGAATGCTTCCATTGAAAACATCCAATGTGGGCTGTTGTCCCTCCAAGTTTTCAAAAGGGACAAAGGCCTATTTTGGGAAATAACAAAATGGCATGTGTGAAAACAAACAAAAGCAAGTAAAAAAGCATGTGGGCAAATGACAACTTTTAAGTTGAAATGAAAGACACAGACCACACATATATGTGATATACACATAATAGGCAGCATAAATAAATACATAATGTGAGATCTTGACAATCTCATGTCTATAAGCTCCTGGTGAGTGTGCCTTTCTTAGCACAGCTTATAGAATCCTACATTATATCAGTAATCTAAGAACCACTTTCTCTGCTGGCCAATCCCCATACCATTACAACCACCTCTTTCTTACATATTTAGTAATGCTTTGGTATGCATCCAATATGCCCAGCTCCTTCTGCCCTCAAGACTTTTATAAATGCTATGCCCACCACATGGAAAACTCATTATTCAAATAAGTATGACTTAAAACCTCATTTCTTTTAGATATCTACTCAAGTTTCATCCTTTAGAGAGCATTTTCATGTATCTCTAGCTAAAATATCACTAATATTCTACTTTTTCTTTCTCTACAGCTGAATGGCTATACACACACACACACACACACACACGTGTATAATCATGTTTTAGCTACTGACTTTCTTTCATAAAATAGAGTAAACTCTATTAATGTAAAGTTTTTATTATTTAATATGTGAATGCATCATAGGTGGTCTAGAGTTAAATCTAATACAAAAGAGAAGGGAAAAGCTCTATGGGATCCCCATGAGAGGCCTTATGCTTACTGAGGATGGTGGGGGTGTGTTGAGGAGAGGTTGGGAGAGGGGAAACCGTGGTTGGTCTGTAAAATGAATAAAAGTTTTAAATAAAAAAACAGGAAAAATAAGAGTAATAGATATCTGCTAAATGAGCAACATTCTAAAAATTGGTTCATGTATATATAAGTAAAGCTAAATGGATTCAGAGGATTATATATGTCTGTATACGTATGTAATATGCATGTATGTGTATTTTGTAATAAAAATAAAGAAGAGATTATGAATTTGAGGGTGTCTTAGTTAAGATTTTGTTTGTGAAGAGTCACAATGTCCATGACAACTCTTATAAAGGAAAAAAATGATTTGGGGGTGGCTTACAGTTCAGAGAATTAGTCCATTATCAGCATAATGGTGTGCAGGCAGACATGGTGCTGAAGAGTTAGCTAAGAGCCCTACATCTTGACTCACAGGCAGCAGGAAGAGGGAGCCACTGAGCCTGGCTTGAAGATTTGAGACTCTAAAGTCCACCCCCAAGGGGCAGACTTCCTCCAGCAAAGCCACTCCTACTACACCAGAGACACACCTCATAACAGTGTCACCTTATGAGCCTAGGGCTGGGGGGGGGGAATTTTCATTCAAAATAACCACAAAGGTGATAGTATCAAAGAGTTGGAGTGGGAGTGAAGGACAGGAGCAATGTAGATACAATGTTCATGTGAAGTTCTCAAGAAAATAAAAATTATTAAACACAAAAGTTGGTCTTTTATATTAGGAGTGTTTTTTATTCCATTGAAACAAAGAACAAAATGGAAGATACTCATTCCAACTTATACTTCAGTGTTTGACAACCCTCCATTCAAAATTACACCAAATATGGACATTCTGAAACTAATGTAGAATTCATGTTTTCTGACTTTGTTTCACTGTTATTGCCATGCCTTGGTACAAAATAATGACACCTATTACAGAAAACATGTCATCACAGAGTTCTCAAATACTAATGTTTCGAACTCATGTAATGGAATGTAATCTGAAGCTGTCATCGACTAAATAAACCTGGCACCTGTGTAGCACACAGCTTTACTAGAACTACTCAATTTTTAGAGTACTATACCCCAAGTACAATAGTAAAATGAGATTGTAATTATTGAACTGCCAACAAAAGAGATAAGATGGTATATTATAAACTACTTGCCACAATTCTTAACTATTCATGCTGAAAATCTATTCAATGTTCTGCAAAACACAATCTATGCAAATAATCTTTTGAAACAGGATCTCTTGTATTCCAAGCTGACTTTGAACTCACTATACAGTTAAGAATGACCTTGAACTTTAGAGTAGTGTGTATTAATTATGAAAAGAAGAATTAGTATAATAAGGTAGAAAGTTCAGGTATAATATAGATGACAAATGAAGAGATATAAGTTAAAGGTGTGAGTGGAGATATCAGTAATAGATTATTAATAGAAATGTGGAAGAGAAGATTTTTAGAAAAGTGAGAAAGTCACAAAAGGCTATTCTGGTGAGGTAAAGTTTAAAATTTAATAGTTTAAAAATAAATGTACAAACTACAAGTTGCGATCTTTTAAAAATAACAGAAAGAGAAACTTAAAAGAACCTTTGGATAAAGAACAAACACAAAGACACAACATTAAATGAAGTTGAACCAAGACATACAAGCAAAGACAATAACCTGTTTCTGTATTCCATGTTTGGCTTTAAGTGGTTAAGGGATCTCATAAAGATTCCAGGAGCTGCATCTAAGTCAGGTTCAGTCACAGAGAGTGTTTCCTACTCATTTTCCTGTGAGGTGGTTGAGTTTAACTTAGGCTTGGTGAAAGAAGGGTGAGGAGTGGGCCTACATTCCCAGGTGCTTATCTCACAGAGAGAAAGACCAGGGGGTAAAGCTTCCCACAAAGAACTCATGAGGTGAGGGGAAGGGCTGGAGCTTCTCATATGTTGATCTCACTAGACGGCATGTTAGAGTTCAGTTTTTTAATAATTTAATCTTTTCTCACATATTACATCCCAACCACAGTTTCTCCTTCCTCCTCTACTCCCAGGATCTCTGCCACCTTATCTCTTTCCACAGATCCATTCCTCCTTCATTTCCATCCAGAAAGTAGCAGGCCCACCAGGGATATCAGTGGAACACTGGATAACAAGTTACAGAAAAATTAAGCACAAACCCTCATATCATGACTGGACAAAGCAATCCAGTAGGAGGAAAACAGTAACCCAAGAACAGGCAAAAGAGTCATAGATAGCCCCCACTCATACTGTTGAGAGTCCCACAAGACCAAGCTGCACAACCATAACATATATTCAAAGGAGTTAGCTCAGATCCATACAAGTTCCCTGATTGTTGCTTCAGTCTCTGTGAACCCCTATGAGCCCTGCTTAGTTGATTCTGCAGGTTGTGTTGCTGACTGCTCTGGTTGTTAGAATTGCTCCTCCCCCTCTGAAGGAGGGGACCCCCAAACTGCACCTAATGCTTGGCTGTGGGTCTCTGTATGATATGGGATTTCCCTCTGTGTGCTGTGATTACCATTAATGAATAAAGAAACTGCTTTGGACCTATAGCAGGACAAAACTTAGGCAGGGAAAACTAAGCTTAATTTTGGGAGAAAGAAGGGTGGAGTCAAGGAGAAACCATGGAGCCACTGCCAGATTCAGACACTGGGAGCTTTACCCAGTAAGCCACTGCCATGTGGTGATACACAGCTTAATGGAAATGAGTTAAATTAAGATGTAAGAGTTAGCCACTAAGAAGATAGAGCTAATGGGCCAACCAGTGATTTAAATACTATGGCTTCTTTGTGATTATTTTGGAGCTAAGCAGCCCAGAACCAACAAGCCGCCTACCTCCTTACAAAAATTTGGCACCAATGTGGTGGATTAAAATCCACATAAAATTGGTGAAAGCATGGAAAGGAATCCTAGACACAAAAGAATAGAGTTAAGCAAGGCTTCTTGGTAGCCAGCATTTTCCTGGTGGCATGCTATGGCCTTTAAGAGAGGTTTTTTGATTCAGCGGTAGCAGATAAAAAAAAAAGCTGTGGTTTTGAAATGCTGGCTTTCTGGGCCATGCTGCCAGCACAAACTCTGATTCTTTCTGGAAGTCCGGCTATGGAGCACTTGAATGGGGTTTGTGGGCCCAACTGCTTGTATGCCTACTTGGGAAAGTAGTTGAAACCATGACCACTGCTCAGTGACCCCCACCTGGGCAGGAAGTAGGATCAAGAATGCTAGGAGTGCACAGGCAGGAGAACATGACAGATTCCTGCCACCATACAAAGAGATATTTCCAGGCCGTGCAATGTTCTACATGGCATATCTAGCTATTACTTAGATAACAGTGGTTTATGTACTGCATGCTTATTCTCAGAGTTAAAGTACTGAGTGGGGCTCCTACCTGGCAGACCAAGAGCTGGCAGTAATGGTACCTCCACCATTTTGAAAGTGGAGAGACAGAGCCAGCCTTCAGGGCCACTGCAACCAAGCTACTTACAATTTTAAAAGCTCTTCAAAACAGTAAAGAATTACAGATACACAATAAGACAGATTCAGACATAAAAGACCTCTAAATGTGTCACAGTGTTGGATAAATGTATGTAGGCTTGGGAGAGAGAAGAAAAAGAGTACAGAGATTTATAAAAAGAAGTAATTAAAAAAAACAAAGTCTTTAAAGAGATAG